TGCAATTAGATAGAGATGATGATGCTGCAGAGACCTCACTTGATATGGACTTTTCATCGGTGGAGTTTCTTGTTGTCAAGGAAGCGCTAGTTGAAGATTTTTTAGCGCAAGGAGCTTTTTTAGGGGTAGTAGATTTGCTAGCGGTGGTCGCATTCACTGCTACAGATGTTTCATTTCTCAAGACAGAGGCATTTTGGGATGCTTGCGAAACCAAAGCAGAGCTGCTGTTAGATATCGAGGGCTTTTCAGACATGGATGTTGTATTACTGGTGGGTATTGAAGCATTTGAAGCAACTTGAGAAGCTTTAGCAGTCTGAGAAGTTTTATTAGTCTGAGAAGCTTGAATAGCCTGAGCTGCTTGAGAAGTTTTATTAGTCTGAGAAGCTTGAATAGCCTGAGCTGCTTGAGGAGCTTGAGAAGCCTGAGAAGAGGTATTTGATGAAAAATTGCTGGATTGCTGGCCAATGGGATTTTGAGGCATGGAGAGGCTCGCCTCTTCTGAAAATGTGGATATAGCTTGTTGAGAAGTCGCTGGCTCTTGGGCCAAAGGGGCTGCAGATTTTTGAATCTGCTTGGAAGGATCTTGAGGCTTAAAGTTGGATGTATTTCCATTGCATGGAAACTTGGCTTTAAGCTCAACGCAGAAAGGCAATTTATCCATTCTAGTACACACCTTTCTTTTATATAAAATAGAGCTAGTCTGGTTTGCTTGGTTTGCCTGGTTTGCCTGGCTGGCTTGGTTTGCCTGGCTAGCTTGGTTTGCCTGGTTTATCTGGCTTGCCTCCTTGCCAGAATCAGCTCCAGGTGAAGCGTTAGCAATACCTGGGGCCTCGGTGGAAGAATAAGAGAAAAATAAGGCAATCATGAAAAAGAAAAGTGCAATATTATTTGATAAATTCATTCCTAGGTGTTCCGCTGCATGATTGAACCACGTATTTATAGATTCAATTGAAACACTTGAGACAGATTGTTCGAGAACCGAACCAATTTAATTATTTTTGTGCACTGCAGTTGTATCAGAAATTAAATTGAAAATTAAAAAATCACCTAAATTTTACTCGCCTTTAAAATCGGATAGGGTACAATGCATAATTTGATCCAACGATTTCAAAATGATCTCAATTCCACGATCCAATTCTGCGTGCGAAATAACCAAGGGCGGAGCGAATCGAATGATATTGTTTTGCGTTTGTTTTGCAATAAGCCCGGATTTCTTGAAAAGTAGACACAAATGCCAAGTAACTATATTTTCAGGCAGCTTTGATTCATCGATGATAACGCCATTCATCAGACCTTTTCCTCTTACTATG